CGAGCCCACATTGGCCAGCTGTTTGTTTTCTTTCTATAAAGTCCCTCATTCCTTATAAACATCTTTTTAGAAAGTTATTTTTCTCCTCCAAATCCCTCCTTAAAGTCTTTTTGCTGTGATGTCTAAATAAAAGCTGGACAAGACCTTATCTCCTGGTGTGTTAAGAATTCTGCCTGTCGAGCTGACCAGTATCAGATGTTCAAAAAAAGAAAAAGACTGGAGGGTATCGATTCACTGTATTTTAGCTGATCTTCAGTAACTGTGTCTTCGCCCTTAGCCTGGGGAAATGAAAAGTAATACGAGTTAGGATAGTCGTCTTTCATTGACTGCAAACTGCAACTTTGTATAGTTTAATATTTATTAACACTTGAAACCTGTTTCTTGTACTAAAACTGTGCCCCCTTTCATTGAGAGCTAATGTAACATGAATTGCCTTGCGTTTACTGTGGGCTGAGAGTGTGCACGTGGACAGTTACCTGGCAGTTATCTAGCATAACAGTAACTGTACAGTTCACAGCAGACTGTCCATAATTCAGAAGGGACAAGGTGAAATACTTTTAAGTGGGGAGGTGAACTGAGCATTACACAAAAATTTGAAACATAATTTCACCTTGATTTTCACTTCCAAGTCTGTTAGATTCTAGGATCGTGTGTGCTTTTTATTTATCTACTGCAGTAAAGTGTATGCTCCACTGACCATATATTATTCTTAATGTTTCTTCAAATAAAAAGTAGGAGGCATTTGAGGATATGGTTTCGAATATGGCAGTGACATTTTATTCCTGAAAATTTATCAATTGTTATGTTCTTCAACTCCCTAATTCTTTCCATCTTGGGAAAGAGAGTTTGAGACAGATTGTAAGTTGTGAGCTTGTTTTTATGGACTAATATAGCACGACTGGTATTTTAGAGGGATGGAGTGTAAATGGTATCTGTCTATCTATTTTTACTGTAGTCTTGTGTAGGTTTTTGGAATTGAGGTATAGTCGAAGAAATATAGTGAGTGAGATTTGGAGGTGGGGTTAAGGTGCCTTTAAGAACTCATCAAGTGAAAATAAAGAAAATATACTCTTATTTTTCCCAGAAGAGTAATCTCACTGTTGTGTTTTCCAAGCTGCACTTAAAACTAATATGTGAAGAGTAAAAATAATAGTTAATAATTACGTGGTTTAGGCGGCATGCTGTATTTTATCCTTAAAAGTGGTTCAACAGAGGCTCTCTTCTGGTAGTTATTTTTCAGAGAAAAAAGTTAAGTAGGTGTTTCATAGACTGCAGAGACAATAAATTTATTAACAAAATTGTTATCGACTTTGGACTCTATCTTAGTAAATGTATTTGTTCTTCCTTGTGAAACTATATCTTCTATGTTCAGTATGATGAAAAACTGTTCTACAAGCATTAGTGTTAATAGCTTAGTATTTTAGTCCTTCACAAATTAATGCTTGTGGTAACTGGATGATTTTAGGCCTGTTCTTAGGAACAAGGCCTTACTGATGTGCTAGGAACAGTAATATGTGGCAAAAACTCCACATTAACCAAGGTAAGCAGTATAAATGGGGTGTAGGAATCCCCTGCTAGACTAAAAATCTCCAAGAGAAAATCTCCAGAGCCTACAAATTAAAGACCTCCAATGTCATTTTAAAATAAAGCCTTTTATGTAGTAGGAGAGCATTTTTTCAGCTGATAATCAAATGACACTATTATGCAGGCTTACTAGATTTGCAAATTTACAAGTTTTTACAAGTCAGTTGGGTCCCTTCCTCAGGAAATCAGTTTAAGTTTTTTTTTCCTGTATTGACTCAAAGAGCCTGGTTGTCCTTAAATCCTTCTGAATATATTTGCCTTATAATTTGACGGCATTGAGTCAACACCCTTATAGGAACTGCAATGCAATAAAAAAGAGAAACTGTTCGATATAGTTTCCAGTTACCTTAGGATCAGATTTGGAGAAACTGGAACGTATACAATAAAACCTGTGCAAGACTTCCATTTTGCTTTGGAAGCAACCAGTGCTTTTTCAACATAAAATACTATCTGAAAGCTTTGCTCTGCTTCCAGTGGTTGTAAAATGATGAAAATGTGTGTGATTCTTGAAATGCTCATTTTGCTGTTTTTAATTTTCTGAACTGTACCTTTATGTAATTGAAAGCTTCATATATGAGTAATGAAGAATCAATGGTTTTACTCAGTTCATTTTTTATTATAGTGAATGTTTTTGTTCTACCATGTTCTGCAATAAAGTTCTTTATAACTTATTTACCTGTTTTGATTAAAAAATAAAAGATGTAGATTCAGATGTGCTTGGTCAAACCTATTTTGTAAAAGGCTTTAGATGACACCGAAACCTCTTAATATGCATCATGCTTGTAAGTAGAATGTGCAAAATTTAGTTGTCTCAAGTTTCTATATGTAGTTAGCAGTAAATTCGTTACAAATTGTGTGTATCCAGAAATAAATTTGTCCTTTATTTTATATAAGAATTAGTTGAATTTAACTGTAAGTTTTATTTGTGGTTTCATTTTAGTTTTGCAAATAATATTAACCTGATGTAATTTGTTATTTTTATTATGGCAAATGATTATAGGAAGGAAGAAACCTGCATTTGCATACACCTGTAAAGGAAAAGATTACATCTGATGTGTTTCCAATGAATAATTTCTAAGACAGGTAACTGAATGGGCTCCGATTAGTAACTTTTCCTTTTTTCAACTTTTTAGTTGACTTGGAACATATGCGCACGGTGAAAGTTGACAAGCACCAGCGGTTTTGTCAGGAAAACAATTTCAGTAGCCATTTCGTGTCGGCCAAGACGGGAGATTCTGTAAGTAAGAAAAATAAAACCCTTGAAGATGTCTTTTTTTTTTAATTTTTAAAGATGCAGAAGTTTTATTATGCTTCACATATCAAACCACTGAGAACAATGGCTGTTGCAAGTCCTTTTAGCCTGCCTGGTTACATGAAAAATAGATCTTTGAGTATATTCTATATGAATTACAGTGATTTCTCATCTGATTTGCAGTTTAATGTATAGATTTTGATATGATGATGATCTAGTTTATACATCAGCATGACAACAGCTATATCTGTTTGATGACAGCCTGTAGTTAAATGTATTCCTTCATTCTAGACCATCAGTATAGAACCTTTGAACAGTTTTTAATATGGGTCCTGAGCCATGGGAGACACTCCTTCTGCAAGTCCATTGAAATTTGAATGTTTGGTATTTTTAATGCTTTGCAGAGTATATTTTTGAACAACCTTTTGACTCTGAGCTAACTGGATTATTTGTTTTAGTTGTAAGTGGATGGAAGAAAAGGTTCTTTCTCAGTTGACGGTGTCAGTCAACTTTAATCACATTGTATTGTTTTGCTTGATTTCTGTCACATGCCTAATGACTTTGTCATTCCCATAAAACAGTCCTGTACCTCTCTCCTGTGTTACTTATGACAACATACTTCATTTTTGTTATTGAATAGTAAGAACACGTTCAGTTATATGAAAGTATAATTCTGTAACACAAATGGGATCTGTTAAGATCTATGATGAAACATCTGCAATGTACTGCCTAATTTTATAAGATAATAGTTTCTCTTTAAAGTCTAACAATTTTGCTGTTACAGATGCAGCGAGTCCTTATTCTCCTTATAGTTTGTGTTAAGTCTTTGGCATATTTTTTTGTTTAAATTAAGGCTTTTTAAGGTAGAAACAGAAGGAAAAATGTGTAATAGCTCACTCAATGAAGTATGCATCTGATAAAATGTATTCCTTTCTCAAGGAGACAATGTTTTTTTTTTTGAGATTTGGTAACAGGAAGAGAAAGCAGTTCTTTTTGTAAGGTTGATATAAGGTTGATATATAAGGTTGCAAATGATGAAGGAGTCTTTATTATGTCTTTTAGTTGATTCATAAATTACAGCAGCATCCCACTATATGTACTGATTGTTCTTTTTTTCACTTATTGTTTAAAGACAAAAGTAAATCTGAACATACCTAGAAAGCATTAACCAGAAATCTCTGTTTAGATATTTACTGACAAAAGAAGGTATGAGGTATAGTTTACAGTAGTTAATTTTTTTGTTTCAGTATAGAGTTGAATTAGTTCTGTCACTGCATGCTGACCTTTCAGACTCTTCATGTTTTTTGGTAGCTGTGCAGGAAAAACAGGGTGCTTACCCTAGACAGTGATTTAAGAAGAGACCATCAACTGCTGCTGTGGATATAGATATAGAAGAGTTTTAAATACTCAGTTAAGATAAATGATTTTTTTTGTTTATCTCAGATCTTTCCAACTGACTCGTTTGCAAAAGATAATTTTATATTTAATTTTTATAATATAGAAAAGCCCGAAAGTCTCCTCAGAGGAGAAACAAATTTCATGGAAGATTTAGTATAGCTGACTGTCTTACTGTCCATCAAATTGTATAAATAAAGCACTGAACTTGTGCCTGATGTTTTGCACGCAGAGCATCCTCATGGCAGGTCATCTAGCTCAGTACGCCAAGAGCCTGGCATGGGTTAAAGTAGGTCTCTAGAAAGAAGATCTTCTTCAGGATTTTCTTTCTTCTTGTGTGGATGCTAGTAGAATAGACCAGTACTAGACCAGTTTAGAGAAAGAGAAATTTTTTTGGAAGCTGCCATGGTTTGTTGGTTGTTCCACTAATTCGTTGCTGTTTTCCATCTTGGGTGTAAGAAGAGATAGTATAAATGGTCTATTTTTGAATTTTCACTGAAAATGACTAAAACCACATAGACAGGCATTACCTTTTGGGGTGGCAGCTACATGATGAAAAGTGTTGTTTGTTAGTAGTTTAGATTGTGAGCTCAGTCGAATAACCATGTAGATAAAATATAATACAGGGGTCAGCAGCAGTGCAGACTTAAGCTGCTCCTCTTTAACATCTGTTGGTGTTCTTTAATCTGATTTAAGGTGCAGCTGCCTAAACATTAAGATTGGTGGATGGGATTGAGATGAAGTAAAGGAGTTGTTTAAGATAGCATTGCCACCCAATGTTATCTGTCAAACCATGTCCAAAGTCTAACTCTGACGGGCTGCTGCATGCTGTACAACGTCTTGGTTGTTTTCTAGATACTTACATTCATTATAACATCCATAATGTTTTAAGACTCTTCAGAACAAATAGAGCATTGCATGGCTTTCATATTGACAATATTTTTTAAACACGTACAGTAGAGATTTTGGTGATGTTGATGCACAGTTCTGTTGTTTTCCATTTCAGAAACCTACCTCTCTATTGCAGAATACACTGGTAATATATTTTTGTGCTAAACATTAGTGAATACCCTTATTCATATTTTATAGCACTGAGAGTAGTATTTTAGAGGTGAGTTGTGTAAAAGCTTGTTTAAACTTAAGTCTCTGGAGGCAGAGTAGAAGTGTTGCTTAACAATCCAGCATACTGTTCATTCCTTGTACCATTGTTGAGGTATTTTCTCCTGATTTCTAAACAAAATTGAATGTACCAGATGAGGTTGTTTTCAGATCTCTTTTGCACAGATCATAATTTAGTATATCTCATTGTTTAACAGTTCAAGAACGATTTGATATATTTGAAAGAACCTCGAGGATGTCTGGTTTTAATCTTTTAAGCGCAATTTAATTTTTTTCCATAGGTCTTCCTGTGTTTTCAGAGAATTGCTGCTGACATACTTGGCATCAAATTAAACAAAGCGGAATTGGAACAATCACAGGTGATTTTTCCACAAATACATGTTTTTTTTTCCTTAGTATTGTATTTAGTGTTGAAAAAAAAAATCATTGGAAATAAGTAACTGTCCTTTAAAGCCAGCAAATATAGGGGGAAACTTCAGTTTGAAAGCTATTTGTTTAAAAATAGCGTGTAAAATTGATTTAGAAGTTAAAACCTCTCTATATGTATTCATATGCAGGTAGCATGGAAGATTTTTTTATATACATTAAATACTGTACATTGATGTCAGATATGGATTTTATGAGAGTTGTTCTTTTTTAATTCTTTACATATTTAAAAACCAATTTCATTTTAGAACACTACAGATTTAAGTGATAGAAGGCATAAGCTTCTGTGAGTAGAAATGTTCTAAATCAATCTCCGTTGTACAGGAAAAAATAGTATTTTCAGTCAGAGACTTGGGAATTAACCATGTCAAATCCTACGTTTGGTTAATCTCAGATTTTCGTCATCTTTTTGTGCCTGTATAATGCAGGACCTCAGTAGTGACTTTCTGCCTCGGGGAAGGAATATTGGCTTTGTAAGGTCACTATTTCCCATTTTATTCTGATTTGAAAATGAGAAATGAATCCTATTCTGGTTCAGTATACCCATTCTCAACAGCAGGCAGGGCTGTGGAATCATGTGTTTGGGTAGTTCTTGAGGCTCACTGGCATCTGCAATTATTTTTCTCACCATACCAGTCCCATATAATCTCCCCCAAAAGGAGCTGCATGGTTTCTGTCCTTGCATTTTGTGTTTTGTTCTTTATGAGTATTATCTCGGGGATTTTCTGTCATTTCCTCTGCAGTAAGAAAGGGTTGAGAGGGGAGAATGTTTCCCAGCAATAGGTGGGAAGGTCATCAAGAAGGTTATCCACCATTCTCTTATGTTGGTTAGCCGTGAGTTAGGGATGTGAATTTAGTGATTTCACAATGAACACATGGCAGAACCTTACTGCATGTCATGCTCTGTACTGTAGTAGAGCTTTGTTGCAAGTTCATCCTGTGTATTAATTGCTATATGCAGAATGGCTCTGTTGAGGGCATTGTTTTAAGACCTTATGAATTTATTTGGAAAAGTTTTTTTGCTATTTAAAAAGATTCCAACTGTAACTATAGTAATTAAAATGCGAGTACTTGCTTAACTGTATCTACCAGATTTGGAAGTCACTTAGTCTTTGTCAGTGAAAGTTAGATGACAGATGTGTTAATTGTTCAAATAAGCAAGTGACCAAGAGGTTTTCTAGTATAAATCCTTTTCCCCTACCCTTCCCTTTCCCTCCTTCTTCCTAGTTCCTGCTTCTAAAAATAATTTTCCTGCCAGTAAGACTGTGAGCATAGGTTTAAACCAAAAAGATTTTATACAAACCCAGTTTCAGAAACCTCAAAAACAAAGATTATACTACTGAGTACAATCTTACATGTACATATATACATAGTATAACCTCACCATACAATGATGTTTGAGATTACAATGTGCTTATTTTAAATTTACTTATTGAACTAAAAGGTAGCTGTTCTGGTGGTGTAATATCCTGGAACTGCTAGTTACTGCCAACATTAAACAAGTACCACAAGGTAAGTCAGCAAGTTTATTAAGAAAAAAATGAAAAGGGCAAAACATTTCTTACCTACAGCTTGGCCTCCTGCTTTTTGCAATATACAATAAATATGTAATTTCCAAAAGTGTTTTGCCACAGTGGTGTTTACAATCTGTGTTGAAGTGGTTAACTAGAAAACTGTATTGCAAACAGTAAAATGGTAAAATATGCTTACAGTGCATACCTAACGAGCAAAGCTAAGGGGTTCTGAAAAGCTGTAATTTATGGCTAAAAAATATTGAGTGTGTCTGTTCAGTGATCTCTTCCTACTAAGGCACCATCCACCTGTTGTTCTGAGCTCTATGATTATTTGTATATAAATAACTCAGCACATTAAGAGCACTTCAGTTTTACTTCGGTTGTTTAGCTAGCACTGGAACTTCAGTCTTAGACCTCTCTGTGCCTTGTGGTGTTGCGTTCGAATAAGTAAGCTTGTAGATAAGTATGCAAATATCTTAGGTTAGAAAGAGAATATGATAAATTGGATTATACAGAAAATTGTAGCTTTCTAGATAAGGTGTCTATTTTTAGGTTATTTTTAAAGTAAGAACCTCTATATAGCCCTGACTCAAGAGTGCATAACTTTCTACGTCAAATTGGTACTGGCTTTAAGTAGGCTTCCTCCTGCCTTAGTATTGTAATTACAGTTTTTAATTTTGTTGAGCAGATCAGTGGAACATGCAGGTGTGGATCAAAGTTGATATTATGTAAATGGCATTAGCGATAGCTTGTAAGTAGTTAATATGCATAAATTAAATACTCACTGTGGCCCATGCATTACTGTTAATGTGAATCCAAGCTATAGTGAAAAAAAAAGACCCCTGAAAAAACAACAACAAGAAAAAAGAAAAGAAGAAACTGAGAAACAAAGCCAGTAAATGGAGTTGGACAGAAAAGTAACTTCATTGTTGCCATTCAGGCACAGCAGAAGTCACTATGTGGTGCTACGCTGTGCGTATGGTTGAAGAGTACGAGCAACTGTCTGACTTTGCAAAGTTCTACTAATTGAACATAGTTTCAGTCTACTCTGAAGACTCACACAAAGAATCACTTCCTTTGAGCGGGCTGGTTTGAGTGGGCTGTAGGAATTACCCCAGTTTAAGTCAGTGAAAAACCAGTGGGAATTGGAGTGTTTGTTAGCTGTATCTTAAGGTTCATTATTGTATAGAACTGAATACTCTCGTCAGTTAAGATAGAAAAGGGGAATTCTCTACATAAAACTGGAGAAGGAAAACTTTAACCTCAGTGAGATGAATAGAATAACATGTCTTGAGAGAAATTTATTAGTCTGTGGTGGAAAAGCCTAATTCAAGTAATGTGTAGATGCTGTTTTCCAAGAGCATGGAGCTGGTCTTTTGGCTGCAAGGAGGTGGTGTTACATGATGTCGCCATCACTAGGTTTCTGGTTTACCACATGTTTTTATATGACAGGTTCATGTTCCTTAGTGTGGTGGTGATGTTGGATTTTGTTTTCTTTTTTTTCTCCTGATTTTGTTTTGTTTTTTCTTTCCATCTGTAAAATGGGCAGAGGACTTCTTTAAATTATGGAACAAGTATGTGAATGCATTCCTTAAAATTTGCAGGCATTATTATCTAGCTATTGTACCATAAAAGTAGACAGATAAATAGAAATAAAATATGTATGCCACATAAATGGTATGAAGAAACAAATGAAAACAATACAATAGTGTGACTCATCCTTAAATCAGTATGCAAGTCTTGACTTGGATTTAATCTTTAAACAAAGAGTAAAATACATTGTAGTTTTTACAAATGTACACTACTTAGATACTGAATTATATCTTTGAATTTCCCATATTTTGTGTAATGCAAGTTTTCCTCATTTTGAAAAATGAGAAAGTTACTGCCTGAATGTATTTGTCAGAGAACATTAGATGCCTTTGTTCAGGCTAGGTGGTAACAAAGGGGAAGATGAAATACTGAGTTTGTGTAAAATGCCAACAGTGATGTGCTCTGTGTGGCTTATGTTTTATTACGTGTTTCTTCAGTATTACTGATTGTCTAATATTGAGAATACTCCTTAAAAATTATTTCTAGTGCTTTTGATTATATGCTCGAAGATCATATTTCTTGTGTTTAAAATCAATTATAATTGCCACAGTCACTAGGAGGATCATAGAAGTGACTCACAGGTGGTTAGAAATAAGTAATAGGAATCTCAAACATGTTACTTGTGTGAATTTGTGGTGCCTGACTCTTGACTTTAGAGCTTTGATGACTGGCAGAACTGCAGAAGCTTTGTGAAAAGTGGACGGGGTTCTTGGTCCACTTCAAGTTAACAACACAACTTCATTAATGAACCTCAAGAACAAGCCTTAGAAATTGAGTTATTTAACCATGCATTTTTAGACAACAGCTACAGCAGTATAAGATACTAATGCAACCCAAGCTATCTGTTACTGCCCTTTTGCTGGAATTTATCACTCCCACAGCAGAATCAGAAAATGGAAGGTGATCATGTGCCTTGGCCACATCAGGGTGAAGTTGAGCAGTTTAGCTTAAACTGCTGCTGAAAGTTGTTTTTAAGTGAAGCTGCCAGACTTTGTGCTGAAGCGGATGAGGTGCAAGTACATGTTACATTCCACCAGCGCTCCTTTGCCGGCAGTGATCTCCAGCAGAGGAACAGGACAGACATTTGGGGGTGGTAAGTTTTTAAACTATCTCAGCTAGAGCTACTAAACCTTGTCTGTTAACATGCTGAGATAGATGACTGTTAATCAAACCTTTATTTGGACAAAACTGTGATGAAGCAAAGAACTAGATTACTCCTTATGCGTGACTAGAAATTAGAGCATGTTTTTGAAATGGAACAGTTCCAAGGTAAAAAAATTGCAGATTCTGACTTATTTTCGGTCCTCAAAATACTCCTCCTTTTAAATCACAAGGGTCTGATGAAATTTGAGGAAATAGCTCCTTTACTAATCAAATGTTTTTCTTTCTGTATTTTTGACTTTCAACTGTAGTGTAAAAACTGCATGGGGTACAGCTTTGTTCCTTGGCATTGGCAAGAGCTAGCATTTTTGTAAGTGATGTGTAGCTTTCTCTTTAACTAAGTGCCAGTTCAGCAAATGAGGTTGTGTGTGCCAGCTTTGTGCAACAAAATGTTTGGCAGATAAGTTGGATCTGGAATTCAGAGCACCTGCACAAAGAAAGGTTCTCATTATTGAGAGTGGTTTGAACCATGACAGTGATGTACCTGTCATAGAAATTGATGCAAAGAAGCCTAAGTTTTTAATTACCAGGAAGCTAATGGAAGACATGTTGCAGTGATATTTTTTTTCACTCCTATTTAGATGAAATTCCTTGAGAAAATCCAGGTCATTTATGATAGTCAGTTTCTTGCTACGTTGTGCCTAAGTATGGGTCACTAACCTGCCTGTGTTTACAGGGTGGGATTTAGACCAATGTTTTGAGGAACAATTAATTGCCTACAGATTGCAAGACCTTTTTTTTTTTTTTCCCTTTTTCTTTCCTGTCAGCTCTAGTCAAAAGACTGGTATGAAGAAACTAGGTCCTGTGAGGTCAGATAACACTGTTTAACACTAAACCTCCTACTACCGCATTACATGGGATTTGGTAACCTTTCCCTGATGATAACATCAGGCCAGGAGTTGAGTAAATCATGAGCGGTGTCCACTAGATAAGATAACATGAATGTGATCAATTAAACTCTAGACGAGTACATCACAGCAGCTAATAAATCCAGATCCGTTACCAGCCAATTCAACTGTTGCTGCTTGTTTGACATTCAGGTTTTATTTACAGAGGTAATCTTTAACATACATACTGTTTATATATTCATATAATCCAGTTAATAGTTTCCTTTAAAATAATAGTATTTATTCATTTATCCATACATTTTAACCTTCAAAATATGTTGTGTAAAAGCTGAAGCATTTCAGAAAAAAATATTAAACTGGTTTAGGGTATCTTTCATAACCGACCTACCTCCTCTGTTACTGTTTTGGTGAAATTGTTCTATGAATTATTCTCCCCTTTGCATGGACATTGTATTAGTAATAAGAAAACTTTCAATAGTTTTGTTTTACTTTAATGGGGTAAAATGAGTGCCTTTCATTTTTGCATTACGTAGAGAAAAGTCAAAGCTTGCAGCACTTGGATGTGAGGTTGTTTATTTATGTCACTTTTAAAATTATATATTTAGTTATAATGCAGTAGTTATGTAATGGAAAAGATGCATGTGTACGTGTAATGCACTTGTTACAGTTGCTGATAGTAAGCTGAATAATGTAGTATTTAAGTACCTTAAAGGAATAGGTCATTACCATATTTTCTTCCTCTGAATTGCCTTCCTTTTTATTCTGTCCCTTCTCTTGCTTTAATACACTTTCGTTGGCTGCATGTATAAATATTTCAGTTTGGTGCTTTGAAAGGGCATGTCCTTGAAGGAGCTCGAGAAGCAGCCCTGATGCTGATAATGATGCTTTCAGCTAGACATGTTGCTCCTGCATCAGCATAAGGCCTGAAAAGAAATGCTTTTGTTTTGCTTCTGCATAGTCTTCTTATGTCATTCATTCATTCATTCTTTTCAACTACTGATCAATCTCTCCATTTCTTTTTCCTTCTCTTTTCTTTTTTCATTCTTCTCCTTGCCCTCTATCCGTTATGCTGATACATGATTAACAGCATGTTGTCAGGGCAGAACTAGTGAAATATCCTGAAGAAGATAATCAACATCACACCACTTCCAACTGCCAGAGCAAAGTCTGCTCAATGCAGTAGTTCAGGTATTGATGGAAAACTTGGTTTGTTTTTTTTTTCTTTTCCAAGCTTCATTGCTTTTACATGAAGTAACAACTGTTACAGCAAGTTCTATTGGAAAAATGTTTTGTATTGTAGGTGCGTGTAATACTTATATTAATTTGGAATTCTGTGTACAATTGAATGTTGTTTCTAATGACTAGATAGCTCATAGAAATTAGATACTTCATGCTACTTTATTCAGTGCTGTATATTCAAAATGTTGCATAGCTGCCTCAGGTGGAAGTGGATACAAAACTGACATCTCATTTCCTTCTCCTCATATAGGAGAGACCAACAATCTGATAAAATGCTTTTAAATAGAACGGGTAATACCTGTTGGATCTGTATTTGGAAATAAATACTTATGATATGCAGAGGTTCTTTTTATATTAATTTAGGCTTTAGTCAGGCTGCCTATCAAAGCTTTTTTGGAATATGGTTGTATTTAAAATTTGCTTTGAATTCTGTTTCTATTTTCCTGTGCAATGCTTGGAGTAAAGACAGAAAGACAAATTTACGTACTATTTCAGATTACAGTTTAGGCAGTTATTTTTCAAGTATGCATACCATAGTCTTTGTAAGCAAAAATTGTTTTATTATTTCCACTCAAAACAATTTTCTTGGAAGCAAAACTGTATTAATTGCTTTTGCAAAAAAATCGTGATCCATTTTTAGTGTTGTGAAAACCTATAAGGCACTTCCTTCTGCTTAGGATAAACTGGTATTTAGAATGAGAATTAGCACCCGGTAAGACTTCCTGTAAGGCAGTGGAAAAAACCCTAAATGGTATCTCTTTTGCCTAGTATTTCATATATTTTTATAGCAAAATATCTGTTGAATGCTTTGCCAGCATGAAGATTACATTTCCTAATTGTTACTGTGTTTTCTTTTATGACAGAGGGTGGTGAAAGCAGATATTGTCAACTACAGTCAGGAGCCTGTGACAAGAACCATTAATCCTCCTAGAAGCTCAATGTGTGCAGTGCAATGACCGTGCTATTCTCTGTTTTGATACCTTTGGCAGTTGTCTTACCCTGACACAGGCTCTAGGATTACCGGGAACTTTAACAGTGACTGTCACAACAATGCAATTAGAGGCTTCACAAATGTGTTACACCATTGTGCATTGAGAAGCAGCAGGAAGGCAGTTCTTGTACTGGCTAAAATTCAAACATGAGACCACACACTTTGAAAAATTAAGATCTATATTCTTTTAAATTATATTTAAATAAAACAGTATAACTTTTTCCTATTTGACTGACACTGGAATAAAAATGGATGAGGAAGTCCTGCATTCAGAATACTTTTAAGGACATCACCATGGAAGGGTATTTTGCCAAAGCATTTTTAAAATTTTTTTCCTTATTTTCTCATGTGATCTGAACTAACACTCAGTAAAATGTAACTTGGAAAAGCTATTGTGGAATAATTTCAAGCACATAATGTATTTTATCTAGGGGTGATTTGGAAAGTATTCCATTAATGTATGTACATAGTGCAAAATGTATAGATTGTATCCACTAAGAAACAGTGCTTGAAATAAAGCTGTAATTATAAAAATAGTTTCTGAAGTCTTCATTTTTCTCAGTGGATACTCTGAAAAATGCTAGTGCTTTTGTGTATTTTTATTACCACATCAGCATCAGTTCTTGCAGTAGTAGATATGCTTATATGTCTTCGTGAATATGGATGAACCTCAGTCCACAGTTTGGGTTGTAAATGTTGAGTGATATATTCAGCATGCATTAGAAACTGTTGATAGATCAATTAGGATCAGTCATTTTTAATAACTAAATGAATGACTTTTGACCTGGTATTCTTTTCATTCTAGTTCAGAGTAAATGAGAAATAAAAAGCTGTCTGCTCTGTGACCGTCACATTTCTCCTCTGTTCCTTTGCTAGCAGTCTCTTTTAGATGTGCAGTTCTCTACCAGCACATCTGAATAGAAAGCTAAGGAGAAAGAAAAAATATAAGCCATCTTGATTCCAAACTAGAAATCTTTTCTAAACTAAAAATATTCTTCCTGATTTAATTCTAGAATGCATTTTCTTATAAAGTATAACAAAGCATTTCAAGATTTAGAGAATGAGGCTGAGTGAAGGAAGCTTATATAGCATGAGTGAAAATAATAAGTTTCCTCATGTAAGTGTTCCTATTAAGTTGTTCAAGCAAGTGCTTAATAGTTGGAACTACTAAAGTATAAGTTTAATAAAATAGTTGAACCATCATGTTAAAAGAAAGATTGCAGATGGCAAGAATGTGCTTTTTGTTATTATTTTGGCGTATGTCAGGTTCATTGGAAAGCTAAGTTAATTTTTAAACCATTCAAATGCACCTTGACACAGTTCTATAGCTACATGAGAATGACTTACTCCTTTAGTATTTTATCATTCAAGTGTGAGAAATTCTAAGAAAGAAGTTGAGATACTGAGAAATTATTCTACACTAAGGTAGGTGTGAATTTGCAGTAAAATATTCATTCTAGGGTTACAGTCTGTGTTCTTGGTCTCGTCCTGTGGAGTTCGTGTCCCACTGCATAGTTGTGCCTTATGGTTAAGCATGACTGAATGCTGAACTGTCTTCCACTACCACCAGATGAGAACTTCTGTTCAAACAGTTTCTCTGGAGCTTGTAATTTTACAAGGTTATGCCCTCCTGAGCATGTGGTGTAAGGTTTTTTGAACCCTCAGATTTCATGGTGTGTTTTTATCCTGAACTCTGCCCAATACGTTCAAATATTCATGAGAACTTCCCTTTCCCTGAGGAGCTGAGCATAACCTGGCTTAGCTGGATGGCTAGAGCCATCTTTCTCTCTTGCATGTGAGCCAACTTTATAGTCCTGCTTCCCAAGTAATATGTAGCATGGTCTTAAAACCTGAACAGTGCTTTTCTCTTAAACTTTCATTATCTTATGTTTCAGAAGAAAATGGTTTTTATAACTTGTAACGCAAAGCCCATTATTACCCAAAAATAATCAAAAACTTTTGCTTTTATACTTGGGCTAATCTTGCAGTGTGAAGGCTGTGATACATGTCCCAGTCCAAGGTATTCTACAAACAGATTTTGTGTCTCCATTTCATCATGATCTTTCATTCTCATGCCTGTTCCTGTAGCTGTCTGTGACCTGTACATCCTTTTGTGTTTTATTCCCGTTGATCTTTGCCCCATTTTCTGCGTTAAAGCCATACCTCCTCTGGAGATATTATTGTTTACATTTCCAAGCTGCTCTCATTCTTCCTCCCTAACATGCATGTATGTTATTTACGCTACCAGGAATCTCTTGTCTTCTGTGCCCCCAGCCCCTCCTTTTGCTGCCCCTCTTAACCTCCTAGGGTTTTCCATATTGTATACTGACTTCCACTATCCCTGCCTTTCCCACATTTAGATCCATTACCTGTCCATGTTTTAATCCTTACAAATGAGCTTTGCTCTTTTTGCTCAGCCCCAGGGACCCCACCTTCAGCCTTCAGATTCCAGCTGCAGCCTAAATCCTTAGCTGTGGTAGCTGCCTTTGAAGTGCTGCAGCAGCTGTGGCTGAAGATTCAGGGGTGCCTTTGCCATTGCTACAGCCCGAGTTCCACAAGGCAGAGCAGAAAGGTCAGAGATAATTCTGGAGGATTAAGCAACACGGAGAGAGGGAGTAGGTAGACACTGTTCTGCAGGGATGGCAAGGGCTCTCTGGGACCTGGAGGGATGGAAACAAATCTAGTCAGAGTGGTGTGTAGGGGGAGGCAGGCAAGCCACTAACCTGTGCCCGGTCTCCTTCCCACTGCTGATCCACACGATTCACATCTGGTGGAGTTAAAGCATGTGCTGTATTAATGCACTTTGAAGTTTTTTGCAAGGTAAGAACTGGTTGAAAGTAGTTCAACAAACAGTAATGAAGTTAAATAATGCAAGGCTTTCCAGAAGTGAGGCGACATATGCTTAATGTCCATTGACATGGGGAGCAGGCTAGGGCAGGGGAGAAACATGTTTTTTCCTGAAGCTGAGGCCAGATGAAGGGAAGAAACGTGTTCAGGCCCTGAGCTTACACAGATCCACACTGGTGAAGTGATCTGCCTGCTCAGAGCTGTTGTAACTAATCATTTCAGTAACAGCTCCACAGCTAAAAATTGTTTCTAAGTTCAGCTCCTTGCTAGGGCCAGTCTTGTGTGATGTGGTGGGTACCAATAGGCACATTGTGTCTGACTGTGTGTTAGATTAGCAGTGCTCTTAAAACATGTATTTGGAGCGTTACTAGACTCATGCAACTTCTTGTCTTTTGTGGTTCTAAACTTTGGTGGGGTCAAATGGAGTCTCTCTCACAAACAGTGGTGTGAAGGTGTTTTCCCTTATGACCAGATGCTGTGAGTACCAGAGCCTGCGATGAGTTCATGATCTCCTCTCTGAATACACGGTTCTTTAGACAGTTTGTAAAAGTTTTGAAAACAGATGAGGCTTTTTTAAACAGAATAACTTTTCAAAGGACACATACAAGGTCCCTAGAAAAATTATGTGGCATGCTCTTTTGATTAGGCATCTTTATCAAAGAAAACTGTTCTATAATGTACTGTTTGGGTTTCTCGGGAACTAAAGGGCTTTTGAATCAGGTGGCTTCTTTTAAATACAGAGGTAACTTGCTTATCAGAGTAGAGGCTGGCAAATGCACCTGATGATAAGCCCAAATTTTAGAATAATTTTATAAAAAATTATAGCCATATTTGAAATTTGCTATTCTTTTGCTATTTTGGTGATAATGGGAAATAAGTCAAAATCATATTTTTCCTTTTTACATTGATTTTATGTAAGGAATAATGCTGTTTCTTCACAAAGGAAGGTTTGTAATCTTTGTTTCATGGTGATCACAAGCTTTTCGTAAAAGTTGTAGTAGAGACTACTTTTTAGAAGGTGTCCCTATTCCATGTGTTCATCTGGAACCAAATATTTGGGAGTCACTAGGAAGAGCAAGTGGGGCTGATGCCTTGTCGCTATGTACCTGTGCCATACTGGAATCACTGCTCTGGGATGGCCTGACAGCTGTAACTGACTGAAAGCAAACCAAAATCCTCTATAACTTGATGTCTTCAACCCTTTCAAAGTAAAACTTGATATATCTAGCTAGCATTGTACTTTCCTGTGTGAATTTTGGCATTGACAGAAGACTAAATTACTGTTCCTTAATTAACAATCTTATAATAATGGGAAATTTTCTGCAGGAGAATTTTTCCTGTTTCTGATACTTGCATTCATTTCTGATGTAGCTTAAGGCTTTGTATGAGGGGCCTCATAGATACATTTAAAGTTGCATTGGCTTTTGTAGAAGTTATAAAGCTGACAGGGTTAACTGCTTTTCCTTCTGGAATCTGAGTATTATTTCCCAAGCAAAGAGGTTATTCCACAATGTTGTGTTCTTTTCTTTCTTAGTTCAAGTACTACTGATTAACATATTGTCTGATTTCTTTAGGCTATCTTCATTTAAAACAAACTCATAACCACTTAAAATGTCAAAATAGCTGAATGCTACTGAAAAGAAAAAGCCCAAATTTATCCATGTTTGCACAGGGGTAATGGCATACATATGAGATTAAAACTGCAGTCCAGATAATTATCCATAGGAAGCAAATATGTACTCTGATTTCAGATGCTATGAATAGAATGTGATTCGAATTTAATGTGCTACAGTTTTATTTGCAAAATACACAGGGCCTATATAAAACCTCTTTTTATAAAGTGCTCTCCAGAAGCCTTTGGGATCCCTGTTTAACTTGCAAATGCCGAAGTTTGATCTTCCCCAAATAGAAGATAGTGAAGCTCCTGAGTTCCATGAACTGATTTCTATTTTCAACTTCCCATAGAGAGCTGACTGTTCAGCCAATGCAAACTCTTTTTTTTTCCTTTTTTTTTCTACTCCACTTCATCTTCGTTCATTTTGGCACCATTTTGAACTGGAAAACTTCCAGTTAGCTAATTGGCCATTTGCCTTGTTTTATGTGGGGGTGATGTCAAGTGCTGAAATAACCAATTGACTGAAAGCAATCTTGTTTCAAAGGCTGGTCAGAACGAAACCTCAGAAGGTACCAATTTCAGGTTTGTTTTGTATTTAACCGCTACACAGCATT